ATTTTTGCCAAAGGATTTTTATCAAAAACATAATAATTGTGGACAAATAAGGAATAGTTGTATTAACCATACATGGAAACAGTTTATGGGGCCCCCAGGAACTTGGAGCCCTAGGAACCTGCCTGGTATTGTCTAGTGGTAAATCCCCCCCTGGTTATAGCGATATAAGCTTTTTATTTTTCTGTGAATGTAACTGGCTGGACCAATGATTTACTCCTTCTGTAATTTCTTTTATAACTAAAATGTATTTATGTTGTACACCTCTGTTAATAAAAGGCGCTTTATATAAACTTAAAGTTTTAGAAGAAAGGCTTTTTTTCAGGGATTATAAACTAAGATTATCCATCTGGAGGCTTTCAGTGTTCGTCTCCTTGCAGCTCTGCTGATTTTCCAGGAATGTGACGTTCCTTTCAGAGAACGAAGCAGCTGATGCTGCTTTTATTCCCAGTAGAGTCACTTCAAATGTTATTTTTGATGGTTGTGGCAAATAAAAGTATTCACCAGTCTTTACAATTTTACTTGTTCACATGAAAAATAAAGTGATCTGATGGGAGAAACAAGGAGCATTTAAAGTTGACATTCAAAATAAAAATGATTGATTCATAACGGTGGCAGTTAATGTGTCATTTATGCAGCAGGGATGTTTAATTCATGCCTCTCAGTTTTCACATAAAATACTTTATTTGTTTTGCGATAACATAGACCTATCCTTCATCAGCAGGTTGTTTTATCGAAACAAAATCCTTATTTTTGTTGTTCTTTTCGCTTATAGAAACCTGTTTGGGGAAAATTTGTCATTTATTTCTTATTCCCAAAAAAACTCTGACATCTTTCCTCAGACCAAAGGGATTTTTTTGTTGTTGCTAAAAGCATAAATTGAAGGCAATCAAACTTCACTGGTTGGCTTTTATTAAAACAATATTTACGATGTGAATTATGCAATTTTGCTTTATGAAAATGATCAAACACCAGAGGNCCCCTCGTGACCCAGTCACAGGCCCTCAGTGACAGAATATTAACAGTCCAGATCCCAAAAGGACATTCAGTTTCAATTCTTCACACCACATTTGAAAATTTCACACTTTTTCTTGTCTCATTCTTGTTGTTGTCTTTGCTTTAGTCAGACTTCTCCTTCTCTTTCATGTGCAGGAAAACTACACTGAAGACAAAGAGTCCTGTCATCATGGAGAAGGCGCTGGCGTAGTAGGGGAAGGCTGAGGGAATGAAACGCTCGTACTGAGTGTGCTGCAGAGGACGGACTGATACCTGCAGGAGAAAAAACAAACAAAAAAAAAGCTGTAGAAGTTAGTAAGAAAAACTAAGATACCTAAAAAATATATACAGTGAGCCTTCGCTTTTTGTGGGAGTCACATTCCATAAAGAACTCATGATACGCAAAATCTTTTAAGTAGTAACCTTTATTTCCTTTACAATTATTATTAAAAACTATTTCAGGCATATATTCCCCTACCTTAATGATAGCTTTAAATGTGTTGCTCAAAAACACTTCTGCTCCAGGGTTATTCCCAGAGTCTAATGCAGAGTCCATCCTTACCATGGTCTTGTTGCAGACAGCTACAACCCTTTTTGCATCCTTACTAAAACTTATTGCTGCTGTCGTCCTTATGTTATTTTCCTCCTTCTTTATGGAATGAACAGAAGTTTTAATAATTCTCTAATGGCGACCTACAGCCACATAGTGTCTAAACTCCTTTAGGATGTCCAGAAGTTTAACTTTTTCTGCCATAGCATCTTCCTCTGCCTTTTGGGCTCGTCTGCAAATGCTTTAGTCAGTGCAGAACGTTTTGGAGAAAATTAGCAAATTTTAATGGCATGCTGTTCTACGTGCACGTACATTAAAATATGAAACTGAAATGTTATTGACACATTTTTGGTAGAGAAGAAGCGTGGAGACTGTTTAGCCAATCAGAATGCAGAAGACAATGTAAATCCATGAAGCAGCGAGGCTGTGAAAGGTGAACGGCGTTACAGCGAGGGTTCACTGTACTTTAATGAATAGGATTTATAAATGTGAACACACTGCAAACGAAATTTAACTATAAACAAATGCAAACATTTAAATTTTGGTAAGCCCAAGAAACGCAGGTTGAACTTGCCTGAGTGGAAGAGTAGAGATGTGTGTATCCCAGTCGGTTGTAGTCCACCTTAAACTGGAAGACTCCATAGACGTCAGGCAACTTAAACTGGACGCTGTATTTCCCTCCTAATAATAAACAATGAAGCATTTTTGATTTTTAGAGAAAGATAAACAGAGAGTAAAATAAATTAATGGTAAAAATAAAAAAAAAGCAGAACAAGATCAAACTTACCATTTTTCTTGAGGTAAGTTCTGACAAAAGGGTCGATCCTGACGAACTCTAGCTGAATATCATCTCCGTCAAAAGGGACCCAGCGGCCCTCAGACAACATCTCGATGACGATGCTGTACTCCTGAAACAGAAACTTTTATTCACATACGCTGCTCCTCATTAGACAGACAAGCCCTGGATCACAGAGTTACTGAACTCACCACAAGGTCAGTAACTGTGTATGCCGCCGGCGGAGCCGACTCTCCCACAGGATGATGGGTAACAGCTCCCACTCTGAGCACGCCTGCCTCCTTAAACACCCAGCGGGACAGAGCCACAGCCAGCTCCATGTTCCCCGTCTGTTCATGCCTGGTAAACCCCAACACGTTAGCCAAATCAAGGTAACTTCAAATACAAGTAACCAAAAACAAAGTTCTGATCCACACCTTTGAGAACCTGGTCTTGCCTTCTGCACAGCAGAGTTGAAGAAGGCGTCGCTGAAGAATTCCAGGGAGCCGCTGAAAACCACCCTGGCATTGTTTCTGGCCTGCAGCCCGGCGATCAGCAGGGTGTTTTTCCCCACAGCATGAGGGTACTGTAGGAATAAAAAGCTCTCTTTAATGACCTAAGTTTACTTTAAACAGAAAAAAATGACATAACAATGAGTTACACTACATCATAATAAGATACACCCTTAAAAGGGGGAAAATAACCAAAACAGTTACAATTCAAAGAGACATTTTTGAATTCAGTCACTAATAAAAATGGCTTAGAGCTGCAAACATTAATTAATAATTAATATCTACCAAAGGAGATTTATTCTTTCTTAAATAATCCCAGTCATTTTAAATTTTAGTCTTTAAAACAAGGGGAAAAGAAGAGAAAGGAGAGAATATTCTAACAGGCATTTGTTAGTATATATTTTTAAAAATTAGCTGACTTCTTTTTTAGCCAAATGATGAAGCACTATTGTCGCGTGTCTAAAAAACCACAAGATAAAATAGCAAACAGTCTTAATCAGAGATCTTAACATCAAGAAGAAGGTCGGCTGATTATTTTTATTTAACGATACTACCTGGCAATAAATCTTACACAATCTAAAGGCCTGTAGTTCCCTTTAAGCTGCAGTATGATCCCTGGAGATGCTCACTGCCAATTAAAAGCTTGTCTCAGCCTCTCTGCTGATAAAATAAAGTTTCGTCAGATTTG